GCCGAATCAAGATGGTGCTCCGAACCGTCGGTACACACACTCTTCGAACACTCGCGCTACGCTGAGCGCAGATGTGTCGGACATAGCCTTAGCAACGACGAATCCAGTGAACGAGCATTGGAATAGCAACAGGGATGTGTTGCCCCTGCGTGCCTTTGGTAGAGGTAACACAAAATCCATAGAGACAATCTGGAACGGTCGCTCGGCCAGTACATTGCCTGATGAGTATCCTCGCAACGGTGGGCGACGCTTACTTGAGCTACAGTCCAGACACGACTACACATGTTTCTCCACGTCAGCGTACAGCCCAATCCAGTAATAGTTGGACTTAACACGGTGGAATGTCCTGACGACGCCTTGGCGACCATCTTCCAACGAGTCGTGGCAGTTCTGTAATACTTCTTGAATCATCGTGGTGGGTACCACTAGATCTCCTCTTGCCACCCGCGGTCGTATCGTCGGTTCAAGCCCAGGTAGTAAAGCACACAGTCTTCTGATAGAACGAATCGGTCTGCATATTCCCATGCGTTTCGAGCTTCTTTGTAGCTCATCCGCTCTGCCTCTCCTCGAAGCACTTTCTTCAGGTTTGCTCACTTCTGGTCTTCGTCCTGCGCCTTGGCTATTCGTCGACGCCGCTCTCGTTGTATCTCTACTGGGTCGACATCTTCCGCACCAGGTGATGGCGTCCGCTTAGTGCTGGAGGGTTGGTCCTGTGAAATGTCGTTGGGAGAATGCTCGTTGATCACTCCATCACGTTCTTTACCTTGTTCTTGACCTTTAGGTGCTTGTTCCGAATGTTCATCGGCGAATTGAACACGTTTAGCTTTGGTTTGTCGTCTAGTCATTACTGCCATTGTTCCAATGGTGTTCAATTTTCTCGAATTGTCGTCACTCACGAATTTTTCGAAAGTCTTGCGTGGAGAACGTACGTTGCCGGTCAGAACATGTACACAGCGCTCTTCCTGACGTGGTCCAACTTCTGCTGAGTCTTCATTTAGTTCGTAGATCACTTCTTGAATGCAGTTCAACGTTACTAACTCCGATTTTCGTGATTCAGCTAATATGACTCGACTAACTTTCGACTCCAGAGCCTCGGTGGCTAGCGAATCAGCGGCAGCGTTATATTCTCGCACGATATGAAGGTATTTAACTGATCGTGGCTTCACCGTGAGTTCTTTGTGAGTATTCAGCAGTGCCGTCAGGGACTCCTTCCGACATGCTATCACCCGTAGTGATTGCTGGATCGCGAGCCTTGAGTCGCCTACTATGACCAATTCCTTGGCACCATGTGCTAAGGCTGCTTTGACACCATTGTTCATTCCAGTATACTCAGCTAAGTTTATCATAGTAGACGGGAGGTAAGCGTTCACAGCGATCACTATTTCCACTCTGGCAAACTCCACAATATCCACGAGCAACTGCCATAACCACCATATTTCTCTGTCTTTGCGGATCCATCGAACGATAAGACGAATCCTCGGTAGTAGCGTGGTAGCTTCGCGTAGAGCAAAGATGGGTCCATGCGAATCGACGGTGAGCCTTTGCTTGGAGGAGCTAACGGCGCCAGCGTTTCTTCCAAATCCACGAAGTTTGTTATGGTAGATTGGAGTAGCTGAGCGAAGGCCACATCCTTTTCTTTGACTCGTTCTACTATCAGGTGCCACGGTGACAACAGTACTGCAAATTGTACTACACGACCGAAAAATGACTTGGACTTGTGGACCCAGGCTAGTGTCGAAAACCTTGTTTACACATGTAACGTTTTCCCAGCAAGCTGCGTGTAACACGTCTTCAAGAGCAAAAGGAGTGCTAGTACTTCCTTCTCCGCTGGATGGTAGTTCATCTCAGAGTCCTTGAGCACTCGACCGAGAAATCGTACGGGGTGTAACTTGTCTTCATATTCTTGCATAAGTGCTGTACTCAACGCCCATTCA